TCAGGTTTCTGTGCACAACTAGATGGAAACTATTAGTCAAAACCTGTTGTACAGGCTGTTTAACACTGTTTATCAGGTTATTGTACAGACAGCCGTACAGGTTCCTTGTGCAGGCCGTTGTACGGGTCTCTACTCAGAATGTTGTGTAGACTGTTGGCTCGTAAATAGGTAATTAACGCTATATATTACTTCTTCACCACCAAGTAAATGTACTGTAATACTTACAATAGGTATAAAAGAAAACCTTCAGCAAATACACTGGATATACTTTTATAGTGTTATATTCTTGTGATATATCTGGAGTTTACGGAGAGATCCGGGGGTCAACGCCCCGCGGCCCCGGTTCGTGACCAGGCTCCTTGGGTTTCAGTGTCCCAGATGGGGACCACACCAGTCGAACTAACACCAAGTACCATTTTACTGATGGGGAACATAGACAAACGGGTGGAAAGAACACGTAACTGTTTTCTACTCTGGTATGGAATCGAAACCCAGGCCTCACCGTGTGAAGCGAGAGCGTTAACCACCAGGCCACCAGAGCCACCTTTATATATATTAAGATCCAGGCAAAATGATGTCTGAATACATTTTCTACCTGCTGTTTTTGTATCTACATATGTGCCTCTACGAGATCCATTTTGTGTTACAATATGCCAGGATGTAATCTGACTTTTAAAATTATATAAGGCTGTAGTTTTTTTTTTCTTTGAACGTGCCTAGCATGGGCAAGTATGCCTGTTGCAGTGCCTATTCTTTCTTACGTTATATGTTACGTGTGAGGCTACAAAGTCATTTATTGATATTAAAAGCTTGCTAATTTTTCCCCATGAAACGCTCTGGAAGGTTTCTGTACTACACAGTCATAGTGGTTCACCCTACACTGCCTCCATGCACAGAATTTCCCTTCATAATTTGAAATATTTTAAGTCAATGTGCCGTAAATGAAGAACGAGAGCTCCTTTAGGTATCAGTTTCTCTGATACCTAATGGTATGTGATATATTAATTTAAGCTCATAGATGCGGAAATTTAAAAAAAAAATTCCATATATTTTAACATAGGTCTAATTACTTATTTTCTTTTCTCTCAGTAGTGATACGTGAAAGACATTACGGCCCAATACTTTGCTTTTCACTGACTATTAATGCAACGTCAATTTGTTTCGCATACATCAAAACTCAGTATAGACAACTTTCAAAAATTTGAGGAATTTCTTGAACGACGAACTACGACGATTATGTAAGATAATTATGAAATAAACGCAAAGGAATGTGAAAAAATAATAAAAGATTTTGAATAGGTGTGATAACTTACAGAGACACTAACTTATCACCAAGACGCTGATCATAAACCATAAAGAACAAAAGGCACAATAGCGTGACTGGAACAATATGTCGTCATAAAGCTTCTTTCTCCTATGTGCTGGTTAATTGTACCTAAGCCATAGTTTCAACTGTGCCTTGTGAATCTAAGTAAATCTTGTCTTTATCAATAAAGGTTTTTGTTTCAAATATAGTAACTCAAAACACCGTCACAAGTGGAACATGTGTAGTACCATAGCATCAGCAAACGATGCGTCTTTGGGAGATTTTGAAAAATGAATAAATACCATATCTGGAATTGTAAAACAATTCTTTTGTCAGTTAAATACAACAGCAATATACATTTTTAAGGATTCATATCAATGTTAAATAGAAGTAGGATAATTCCATCATCGTGACCACCAGAGGGACATAATGAGAGTGACAGTTAATGGAATACAAGAGATATCAATGATATCTTCCCTTAACGATGTGGAAGCCCAGGGAGATACTGCTAAACCACCTCAAAACATACTACAGAGGCCTCTCCGACCACTACACACGTTCCTCGGACTGGCGGGTGTTGGACCCCAGACATACGACGAGGTGGCTGGTGAATACAGGCTGTCGTGGAGAACTGCTGCAGCAGTGCATACCCTCGTCAACGCCTTCTGTATGGTGGCCCTTACCGCCGCTGCAATCTTCGGTCTCTCCCGCTACGTCATCGTTACGGCCCCTTCAGCGCCTCCCCAAGACGATCACATTTGGAGCCTAAAGGTAATTGCTGTGGTTATTGTGACCGGCTACCAAGTGAACGCTTTAGTCCAAGCCCTCAACACCATCCGTGCGGGGCACTTAATGTGTCGAATTCTCAACGCCTGGAATCACCTCGGAGTGAAAGAAGACATCGATCCCACCAAAGGTCTCTACGTCAAATCTTGCGTGCAGGTGGGCTTCATGTTCGCCTTCATACTGGTGATGCTGGCGTTGACGTTGGCAGGGAAGCCAGAATTCCTCTCGTGGGTGTTGGACGGCCTCGCTGAACAGATGTTCCTGGTGCCTCGCTCGTGGCTCACACAAACAACAGTTCTGGCTAAGGTGATACACTAAACTCCCTCACTTGTCCTCCGTTTACTACGTTAATTTTCTTATGAGGTTCCCAGCGTCTGTCTCTTAACCTTTTCCATAATTCTACAAACATCGTTTTCTTTACTTTCAAGTTAAGTTACACAAAGCCTATAATTATAGTTATTACTGGTGTATATGAAACAAAAAACAGTATTAAAACTGTTTGGGTCATGCAACACTACGGTGAACTGGATTTTAAGGTTCGGGATGAATAATGGCGAGAATTAGTGAGGGAGCAAAATGAAGGTATGAGTTTTTGTCACTGGTTAGTTTTCGTTAAAAATAAAAGTTACAGAGGAAATTTTCTTTAAAAGTGGGACTTTCAACGAAGTGAGTTAGAAGTAATGTGTCATGATAAGGTTCCATGGTTAAGGCAAAGTGGGGATGACAGATGCCACAACGGATAGGTAGAACACTGGTACCTGATTCAGGCAACGAAGGACTGTCCGAAAGAGGTTTAAAGTTCTCAGGAGAGTCCGTGGCCGCGCAGGGGTGGGTAGAATGTGTTGAGGTTACAAGGGAACAGAGGAATTAGATTTCTTCTCGTTCATTATAATACAAAAAACGAGATCAGTTCCGAGGATAAAAGAAAAGAAGCACTGCCTTACCCAGAGTCACTTCTGCTGTGACAGTGAACTCATCTTCCCTAGAAGTCACCTCTAATCCTACCTGGTGAATAACGTTTCCAGAATTGACTGAATTAGGCTCAGTAAAGCGACTTTCAGCTAAGAATGATGTAGAGTGAGCCAGAACGAACGCCAGGAGTCGTACACCATCAGTTTCGACTTCTGATCTGCCAGCATCCTCTAGTAATGCATCCGTTATCAGAAACTCTTCCAAATGTCCACCCTGTGTCTCACCAGGGGGTGACTTGACACGCCGTAAGATGACCTAATTTCAGTCGAATGGAGTGACACGAGCACCGCTGTACTGCCAGCGGAAGTTACTTTTCAGCAAGTATAATACAGATACCTTTATCCCTTGTCCCGAAGCTGCATTTCACAAAACGGGGAAGGGGGATTTTTTCACGTTAATGAGACCAAATGGAGAGGAAGGGGTAGAGGTGTGAGAGGGTTTAGATTCGTGCCGAAGAAGATTAAAGAAGTGTAGTTCCTAGAGTCAATATCTCTTTACTCATGGCAAGGAACTTTTCCCTATCGTCCTCCTGGGAAAGGGATAAACATATAAAAAACGTATATCAAACCTGAATTAAGTCAACAAAAAAACATGATCGTGATACGTCTGGCAACGAAATAATGAATTAACATAAAACGTTCAAATTTACACGAGTATCACTCGCAGTGAGAACATAGGGATGAGTAACATATTAAAACTTGTCTTTATAAAGCTGTCCTGCTCTCTTAAAACAGAGGATCGAGCCTCCACTACTTACAGAGAATGGCTCATACAGATATAGTACTTCACGAAAAAACCTATTTCTTAACTACTTAACGTTTAACTCATTGTTATTTAAATTAAAGAAACAGTACCCAAAATCATGGAAAAATCCTCACCATAACTCACTCAATCACTGTCTTGCCGGAAGTGTGCTGACATCACTGACTTAATCATAGTTCAGATGACCCTCTGAACTGTGATTAAGTACGGTGTACAGGCGCTGTTCTTCCCATCTCATCATTCAAGCCCAGTTAACTGATTTATCTGATTACCTTATTAATTGTTACTTCTCTCGCACTCCAACTTCACGTCAAGTCACAAAAACCACTTACCTCCACTCCGATCTAACAGACTCTCACAAACTGTAGGATGTTCAAGCTCCTAGCACTCAAAACGCCCTTTACTACCCTCCAACCTTTCCTGGCTTACCTCTACTCTTCCTTTCTCCCATCCCTAGAATTTTATACCCTTTTAGACGTTCTTATTTGCTCCCTCTGTTTTAAATGCCCAAACTTCCTCGAGAATAAGGTTATCATAGCTTGTTAATAGGGTTATCAAAGCTTATTAATAAGTCTATCAAAGTTTATTACTAAAGTTATCAAAGGTTATTAATAGGGCTATCAAAGCTTATTAAAAGGATTATCAAAGCTTATAAATAGCGTTATCAAGACTGTTTTCTTCAGTAGCCTTGAAATGGCTTGGGCAAATATTTTTGTTAGGGGGTTTGGGCTTGAGAAGAACCTGCCTAGGATGGGCCAGAAGACCTGCTGCAGTGTTTGCAGTTTTCATTCTTACGACGTTCTTAAGAACCCTTCGTAAGCCTCCTGACATCCTCGCTCCCAGGTCTCTATATAATATTTACACCACAGAGCGCCTTCAGTTTTTTTTACATCGTTTTAAATTTTGCTATTGTAATTATAATTATTATTGCTGTTTTAGCTATTATTATACATAGTGTGCGTGTATGTGTGTGCGTGGAGAGGTGTGTTCCATAGTACTGACATAGTTTTGATGTGGTCACTCCCTCAGCCTGGAGAAGTGTATTCCATAGTAGACGTCGATGGAACACTCTTCTCCAGGCTGAGGGACTGACCACCTCAACACTACGTCTACTATGGAACACTCTTCTCCAGAATGTGTGTGCGTACACAAGACAGCCTCACCACCTGTCTCTATGCTTCAGGGTATTCGGCTGGTGGTGTGCACGGTAGCGCTGCATCACTTCGCTATCAACAAGGGATATGTGTTCGCTTTCACCACACACTGCCACCTCCTCTCTGCCGGACTCTCCACCTGGAACACACAGCTAGCCACTGCACTCCATGGTCAGTGATCTCTTTTTTTGAGCTTAATTAGGCACTCTATATCCATCTTTTGATAGTCTATTTATGCACGCTGTACCTTTCCTTTCATGTCTGTGTTATGCCGAGCAGCTGTCGGTAACTATAGCCTTGTGGTATAGTTTAGAAAACCGATAAGTTGAAGAATGAGACCCTTGTGCAATATTTTGGAACCTTTATGGAGGAGACGTTTCGCCAGCCAGTGGCCTCTTCAGTCTAATACAGAGAAGAACAGTTGAAGATGAGGAGAAGTTTGAAGTTATCAGTCCGGAGTCGATGTGTTCGGTCCATCAGTCTTCAGAAAAGTACACATCGACTCATGGCTGAGGAACTTATAACCTCAGACTGCTCCTCATCTTCCACCGTTCTTCTCTGTATTAGACTGAAGAAGCCACTGTCTTGTGAAACGTTTCCTCCACAAAGATTCCCAAATATTGCACAATTGTCTCATTCCTCAACTTATTATGCTTATAAGGAATTTTCTCAGGTATTTGGGATTCTCATTTTTTAAGGAATATTTGGATTTGTTGGGATTTAAATCGAATCTGACTATGTGCATTAGGATTGTAACTATTAAAATATTCAAATATTTTACACTGGCGTGCAAAAATACCTGACGTAGGGTTCCTCTCCACACAAGCTAATAAGTTTAAAGTTTACCAGCTAATTATGCTAATTACGTGAGTGATCAGGTGTAAAATATGCGCAGGTAACCCACTGGCTTAGTCGATCACCATAACACAGAGATAATCACACACACACACACACACACACACACACACACACACACACACACACACACACACACACACACACACACACACACACACACACACATCCTATGTAGTGTGTATGTATACTCACCTATTTGTGGTTGAAAGGGTCAAGTGACAGCGTCTGGCCCCGCCTCTTGAGTGTTCGTCACTAGGCCCACTCCCTGCTCCAAGAGCTTTATCGTACCTCTTCTTTAAGCTATGTATGGACCCTGCCTCCACTACATCACTCTTCAAATTGTTCCACTTCCTGACAACTCTATGACTGAAGAAATACTTCCTAACATCCCTGTGACTCATCGGAGTTTTATACATCTAGTTGTGATCTCTTGTTGCTGTGTCACATCTCTGAAACATTCTGCCCCTGTCCACCTTGTTAGTTTATCTGAGTAAACAGAGTATAGTCTGAGGCAGCTACGGTGAAAAGCTCTGTTCCACAAGGCACAGTACTCGCACCAATCCTATTCCTCATTCTCATATCTGACATAGACAGAGAAGTAAGCCATAGCTCCGTGTCTTCCTTTGCGGATGACACCCGGATTGCCATGACAGTGACCTCCATCGAAGACACCGCAAGACTCCAAGCGGAGATCAACCAAATCTTCAAATGGGCCACTCAAAACAATATGAGGTTCAATGAAGAGAAATTTCAACTACTCAGATATGGAAAGTTTGAGGAAATTAAAACTGTAACAGGGTATACAACAAATTCTAACCAAACAGTAGAGCGAAAAAGTAATGTGAAGGACCTGGGAGTGATAATGTCAGAGGATCTCGCCTTTAAAGAACACAACAATGTATCTACCGCATCTACTAAGAAAATGAAAGGATGGATAATGAGAATTTTCAAAACTAGGGGCGCCAAGCCCATGATGATTCTCTTCAAATCGCTTGTTCTCTCTAGGCTAGAATACTGCTGTACACTAACTGAAAGTTCAAGGCAGACGAAATCGTTGACGTGGAGATTGTACAAAGAACTTTCACGGCACACATAAGTACGATAATACACCTAAATTACTGGGAACGGTTGAAATCCCTTGGTTTGCATTCCTTGGAATGCAGGCGAGAGAGATACATGATAATATACACCTGGAAAATCCTAGAGAGATTAGTACCAAACTTGCATACGAAAAATACTCCCTATAAAAGTAAAGGACTCGGTAGGAGATGCAACATACCCCCAATGAAAAGCAGGGGCGCCACGTGCACTTGAAAGACACATAATAAGTGTCAGGGGCCCAAGACTGTTCAAATGCTTCCCAGCATAAATAAGGAGGGATTACCAATAGACCCCCTGGTGGTCTTCAAGAAGTCACTAGACAGGCTCCTAAAGTCAGTACCTGACCAGCCGGGCTGTGGTTCGTACCTCAGTTTGCGTACAGCCAGCAGAAGCAGCCTAGTTAATCAAACTCTGATCCACCACAAGGCCTGGTCTCAGGCCGGGCGGCGGGGGCGTTGACCCCCGAAACCCTCTCCAGGCATGTCCCCCTATCCCTCCTATCCTCCAGTGTGGTCATTTTGATCTCCCTTAACTTCTCGTAGGAAATACCCCTTAGCTCAGGGGCTAATCTTGTTGAAAACGTTTAATTTTTTTTTAATTTCCTAACACATTTGACCAGGTGTGGGTTCCATACTTGAACGGCATACTTCGATATGACGTACAATGTGTACAAAGTCTTGAACGACCCCTTACTCAGGTATCGAACGCTATTCTTAGGTTTGCTAAGCGCCCATACGCTGCAGCAGTTATTTGGTTGATGTGCGCCTCAGGAGATGTGCTCTGTGTTATACTCACCCCAAGATCCTTTTCCTTGAATGAGCTCTGGGAAACGAATCTTGGGGTGAGTATTATTCCGAGCTCAGCCGCACATCAACCAAATACTTGCGGTTTTGTGAGTGTGAGTGAGTGTGTGTGTGTGTGTGTGTGTGTGTGTGTGTGTGTGTGTGTGTGTGTGTGTGTGTGTGTGTGTGTGTGTGTGTGTGTGTGTGTGTGTGTGTGTGTTGAATATAATAAAAATGAGATTTCATCGTATAATACGATGAATGATATTTCAATACCAGAGTTTTTGAAATTCATAAACAGTCACCCAGCACAGTACCAAACACCAAGAACAGGTGTGTCAGAATGGGCACTACAGTTTGACACTGTGCCACTATGACCACACTGTGTCAAATACGACCATTCATAGATCATGACAACAACTGCAGTGACGAAGTTTTTTTATTGACTGTCTATTATCAAGGATACACTCCTGTCTGAGTGCAGTCTATCTCCATAATATATATTTATATATATATATATATATATATATATATATATATATATATATATATATATATATTCAAAACAAACCGGCCCTATCCCACATAGGCAGGGTAGCCCAAAAAGAAAAACAAAAGTTTCTCTTTACAAATTTAGTAATTTATACGGGAGAAGGGGTTACTAGCCCCTTGCTCCCGGCATTTTAATCGCCTCTTACAACACGCATGGCTTACGGAGGAAGAATTCTGTTCCACATCCCCATGGAGATAAGAGGAAATAAACAAGAACAAGAACTAGAAAGAAAATAGAAGAAAACCCAGAGGGGTGTGTATATATATGCTTGTACATGTATGCGTAGTGTGACCTAAGTGTAAGTAGAAGTAGCAAGACGTACCTGAAATCTTGCATGTTTATGAGACAGAAAAAAGACACCAGCAATCCTACCATCATATGAAACAATTACAGGCTTTTGTTTTACACTCACTTGGCAGGACGGTAGTACCTCCCTGGGTGGTTGCTGCCTACCAACCTACTACCTACAATATATATATATATATATATATATATATTATATATATATATATATATATATATATATATATATATATATATATATATATATATATATATATATATGCCCAAAACGACCACCATGAAAAAATAGTGAAATTATAAGCACTTTAACAGAAAAAGAGATAGTTCCTTGTTGATGTCGTACACAGACATCACAGTGCTGACAGTAACTATCACTGTACACAGACATCACAGTGCTGACAGTAACTATCACTGTACACAGACATCACAGTGCTGACAGTAACTATCACTGTACACAGACATCACAGTGTTGACAGTAACTCTCACTGTACACAGACATCACAGTGCTGACAGTAACTATCACTGTACACAGACATCACAGTGCTGACAGTAACTATCACTGTACACAGACATCACAGTGCTGACAGTAACTATCACTGTACACAGACATCACAGTGCTGACAGTAACTATCACTGTACACAGACATCACAGTGCTGACAGTAACTATCACTGTACACAAACATCACAGTGCTGACAGTAACTATCACTGTACACAGACATCACAGTGCTGACAGTAACTATCACTGTACACAAACATCACAGTGCTGACAGGAACTATCACTGTACACAAACATCACAGTGCTGACAGTAACTATCACTGTACACAAACATCACAGTGCTGACAGGAACTATCACTGTACACAAACATCACAGTGTTGACAGTAACTATCACTGTACACAAACATCACAGTGCTGACAGTAACTATCACTGTACACAAATATCACAGTGTTGACAGTAACTATCACTGTACACAAACATCACAGTGCTGACAGTAACTATCACTGTACACAAACATCACAGTGCTGACAGTAACTATCACTGTACACAAACATCACAGTGCTGACAGTAACTATCACTGTACACAAACATCACAGTGCTGACAGTAACTATCACTGTACACAGACATCACAGTGTTGACAGTAACTATCACTGTACACAAACATCACAGTGCTGACAGTAACTATCACTGTACACAAACATCACAGTGCTGACAGTAACTATCACTGTACACAAACATCACAGTGCTGACAGTAACTATCACTGTACACAGACATCACAGTGTTGACAGTAACTATCACTGTACACAAACATCACAGTGCTGACAGTAACTATCACTGTACACAAACATCACAGTGCTGACAGTAACTATCACTGTACACAAACATCACAGTGCTGACAGTAACTATCACTGTACACAGACATCACAGTGTTGACAGTAACTATCACTGTACACAGACATCACAGTGCTGACAGTAACTATCACTGTACACAAACATCACAGTGCTGACAGTAACTATCACTGTACACAGACATCACAGTGTTGACAGTAACTATCACTGTACACAAACATCACAGTGCTGACAGTAACTATCACTGTACACAAACATCACAGTGCTGACAGTAACTATCACTGTACACAGACATCACAGTGCTGACAGTAACTATCACTGTACACAGACATCACAGTGCTGACAGTAACTATCACTGTACACAAACATCACAGTGCTGACAGTAACTATCACTGTACACAAACATCACAGTGCTGACAGTAACTATCACTGTACACAGACATCACAGTGCTGACAGTAACTATCACTGTACACAAACATCACAGTGCTGACAGTAACTATCACTGTACACAAACATCACAGTGCTGACAGTAACTATCACTGTACACAGACATCACAGTGCTGACAGTAACTATCACTGTACAAAGACCTCTGCTAAACTGATCACATCATTAACTCTCTACTCTGCTGCCAACAGTACTTCTCTCATCTGTATTCAACTGAAGAAACCTGCAGAGCAGACGAAACATTTCAATAATAACGATACTTAGCTCTTGCTCGCGCATTTCACACAAAAAACTGATATGTATTTCATGTTTAAAAGATTTTCTTTATATTATTAGTAGAATTATTATTTAATACAAAGAATTAGCATTAATGATCATTTTTACCACGCCAGCCATCTCATTCCAAGGCAAGGCGACCCAGAAATAAATGTAACACATTTACCATCATTCAGTCAATAGCTGTGTTGTTGGAAGCGCGTAGACAACACAGCTCAAATAATTCTTTGAACTGTTTAGTAAATTTGTTTAAGTGGACTAAACACAGGAATAACAGTGGATGTAAAGGATGTTACGTTGCTTGGCCGGGCAGTAGGTACACGGAGACTAATACTCAGGTACCTATTTCCTGCTGGATGAAGATGGGTAGCAGGTGTGAGGTAAATTTCAATTAAATATCGACTCGTCTGGGAATTAAACCCGGGTTCTTTCTATTGGGAGCTGAACTTTCTATCATCGAGATACACAGAGTTAACAATGGTCTGTGCATCACCCATACACAGAGGCATGGGAGGAGGGGTACAGAGAGCAGCAGCGTTACAGGGAAGAGCAGCGCTACAGAGAACAACAGCGTTACAGAGAACAGCGGCTGGACAAGCTAGTACAGAGACGTCACCTGTTGGTGAGGCAGGTCCGAGATACAGAGACTGTCTTCAGTCCTGTGCTACAGTGCTACTTTGCTACCACGGTGAGTCAGGTGCTACAGTGCTACTTCGCTACCACGGTGAGTCAGGTGCTACAGTGCTACTTCGCTACCACGGTGAGTCAGGTGCTACAGTGCTACTTCGCTACCACGGTGAGTCAGGTGCTACAGTGCTACTTCGCTACCACGGTGAGTCAGGTGCTACAGTGCTACTTCGCTACCACGGTGAGTCAGGTGCTACAGTGCTACGTCGCTACCACGGTGAGTCAGGTGCTACAGTGCTACGTCGCTACCACGGTGAGTCAGGTGCTACAGTGCTACTTCGCTACCACGGTGAGTCAGGTGCTACAGTGCTACGTCGCTACCACGGTGCTACGTCGGAATTTGACACACATGCAACACCAAATTCAATACAAAGACAATATGAAGGTGTCACGACTGTAGACAGTAGAATCTGAGGTAATCAGTCCCTAAGCCTGGTACTGACGCTGCTACCAACACAGGTACGGACACAGGTACTGACATAGATACTGACGCAGCTACTTACACAGGAACGGACACAGGTACTGACATAGGTAATGACGCAGCTACCAACACGGGTACGGAAACAGGTACTGACATAGGTACTGACGCAGCTACTAACACAGGTATGGACACAGGTAGTGACACAAGTAGTGATGCATGTAGTGACACAGGTACTGACATCACAGGTACTAGCATAAGTACTAACACAGGTACTATCACAGGTTCTAGCACAGGTACCATCACAGGTACTAGCACATGCATTAACACAGGTACAATAACAGGTACTAACACAGTTACTAGCACAGGTACCATCAGAGGTGCTAGCAAAGGTAATAACACAGGTACTAGCACAGGTACCACCACAGGTACTAACACACGTACCACCTCAGGTACTAGCAAAGGTACTAACACAGGTGCTAACACAAGTACTAACACATGTACCAACACAAGTACTAACACAGGTACCATCACAGGTACTAACACAGGTACCATCACAGGTACTAATACAGGTACCACCACAGGTACTAGCATAGGTACCATCACATGTACTAACACAGGTACCACCACAGGTACTAACACAGGTACTAACACAGGTACTAACATAGGTACCACCACAGGTACTAGTACAGGTACCGTCACATGTACTAACACAGGTGCCACCACAGGTACTAGCACAGGTACTTACACCGGTACAATCACAGGTGATGATCGTGTGTACGGAACTGTACCTACTGGCCAAGGGTGTGGGGTCGAGGATGTACGCAGCTGAGGAACTGGTCATCCTGGTGCTGCTGACATTGCAGACAACCTGGCTGTTGGTGCATGTTTCTCTAGCAGCTGCTGTTGTACAGGAGAAGGTGAGTCGAATGTGATCTCTCTCTCTCTCTCTCTCTCCCTCTCTTTTCCCTTGTGTGTGTGTATGTGTTATGTGTTACGGCTGGTTTTTAACGAATGATTCATTACTTTATTTGATATACAGTAATTTCATCAACACATAAGGACTGAATAACGTTTTTGTTATATATATATATATATATATATATTATATATATATATATATATATATATATATATATATATATATATATATATATATAAATGATCACAGTAAACAGGTGGTATCACAATATGCAGAACAACCACTGAGAAAAAATTGTGAAATTTCAAGCGCTTACGTGACTTCTCACATTATCAAGGAACTATGGGTCCTTGATAATGTGAGAAGTCACGAAAGCGTTTGAAATTTCACTATTTTCTCACAGTGGTTGTTCAGCATATATATATATATATATATATATATATATATATATATATATATATATATTATATATATATATATATATATATATTCTTGATCTGGGCTGCTGGAGGAAAGGACGCAAAACTCAGGTCCCACTGGAGTCACACCTCAGCCTTGTGTCTCAACCCCAGCCCTGGAAAAGCTCAGAAAATCCTCTTACCATGTGGACTTGTCCGCCGCTCCACAACGAGTGATCCAACAGAAAAATAAAGCGGCCCAGACACGCTCCCTAAAGGATACCACTACCGAGAACGATAGCTGAGGTTTCTTAGTAGCTTGGGCTTAACTTTAGCAGTGATTGATGATGGTAGTGGTACATTCATTAGCTTTAAAGCCACTAACACGAACTCCTGAGTATATGTTGGTATGTATGCACGCATAAATAAGTATGCATTTAAATATTTATGTATATATACGAACTGATAAATGTATATGTAAAGAGGACAATGAAAAGAGCGAGGATGATGCGTGTGATACAAACATTAGTGTTAGTGAGTTAAGGGAATTACTCACGCACACACGCAATCATATTGCTTAATGGTTTCTCATCATCTAAGCTTGAGAGAGAGAGCGAGCAAGCAAGCGAGCGAGCGAGAGAGAGAGAAAGAGAGAGAGAGAGAGAGAGAGAGAGAGAGAGAGAGAGAGAGAGAGAGAGAGAGAAATGACCTTACAGTTATGTACAAGGCCAATACTGTCAAGTGCCACACTTGGCTCCACTTCGCGGGCAGCGAGAAGACAGCCTCTGTACTACAAGACGGGTAGCAAACAGCAATTATACTCTGGCTGTATCTTCTCAAGAGCATCACTTCACCTGAGTGCACTCACTCCTAGAATGACTCGAGTCCGGAACATGTTCATATAGCGTAACATTAATAAAATAAAGCCAACTGAGCAAATAAAATCTATGACTCACAGCTGGCTCCAAATTCATCCCGTTCAAACAGACTCTCTTTGAAAGACTACTGAAAACCACACAATCTTCTACATTTCTCCCCTGACCATGACATAGTTCTATCAGTCAGCGACGTTACAACTAACGTCGCTGACCGATAGAACGATGTCAAAACTTGTTAAAATATCCACCAGCTCTTCAACTACTGTTAAAAACCTAGTGCATTAACCTAGCAACGACTCTGACACGATCGCAGGAGCCTATGTACACAATACCATGTGAGGGTTGTGGCAAAATGTATGTGGGGGTAACAGCGAGATCTCTGGATATTAGGAGCAGGGAGCATAAGAACGCCTGCAACAGTGTTGGCAGTGAAAAATGCGTGTGTCCACCACAGAGACGATGTTCGACAGCTTATGAAGTTCAGTAAGGCTAGATTAGTCGTCAAGGAAGAAGATATACAACGGCGAAAGTGTATAGAAACATATTTCAAGGTTGCGTTCTCAGTCCTATTAGATATATATGGGTATCACTCAGGTGTTTCCATGAATATCTGGTCATCCTTACATAAAGATGATTTTTGTCATTGCCTGTGCAGGTTTGGACTGCCGTTTTTTAGCATCCACTCTACAATATACACAATGGATCCCGCAGCCAACTGGTTTCAAATTTTCTTTTATTCAAACCAACTCAGTTACCCTCACGAGACATCCTGTCATCGCACGACCAATTTTATACCTTGGTGGCTCCCTTATCCTAGCATGTACCATGGTCATTCTTGTAGGCTCTAACTTTGAGTGTTGAATACCATGGTAGTCCCACAGAATCTCGCCTGGCTTTACTAATAACTTTAACCCCATTACACCTAGAGAGCATGTAGGTGACTTCTTCTCAGACTTCATGCAACCATAATTTTGTTCAAGCTAGACCAAAAGGGGATCACGTATATTCCTCAACTCCTCTTTAGAAACTCGATTTTATTTACCATCAAGGCTTAGGTTTATTGTATTTAAATATTCAGTGTTCTGTACATGACAGGAGTGAACCGTCCCCAGGGTGCAGAAAGTGGTGACGTGTTGGCCCAGGGTCTCCCCTACCACGCCAGTGACAACGACAAGTTTAATGTAAGTGCCCGACTTTAAATCCCATTTTAATGTCCATTTGTTTGTTATCACTTTAGTAATGGCGAGTTGATGAATAAGGTACAAGAGTCACTTTTAGTGGCTTTATTTCCGAAACGTTTTGCCTACAAAGAAGGCTTCTTTAATACAATACAGAGGTGAATATAATTCGAGACAGCAGAAGTGGTCAGTCCGTAAGCCATGGGTAGCGTCCAGCTACCCATGGCTTAGGGACTGACATGTGTCATATTGCACATGTGTTATATTGCACATGACTAAAGTGTTGCACATACGTGTCTTATTTACCCCACAATTATTAATCGGAACTATTTTTAGGTATTCCCGGCAGCGGGTATTTTTGTGTATATAACATTCGTGCCTCCTTAACACCATTGAAAAAACATTTGTATGTTATGTACACTAACTTATTTACTTGTTTAAGTACTTGCTTACTTCTTGTGCTTACTTTCTTAAAAAGCTTCTCAGTTTTAGAGATTGTATTGATTTTGGTCAATGTGGAAAAACTGAACTGTGGAAATTTCCACGCTGATAACTTGATAATGCAACTTCCGAGCGGCTTCAAACTTAATGTGCTTGTGTATTTTAGGGTGCTGGTTTCATCGAAACCAGCACCCTAATGCCCTAATTTACCATTTTATTGAAGAAATTTAGATCTTATTGCCCATATATATGATGACTTATGAATAACGCTTTTGATTCCCTTCAAATCTTCATTGCTAATATTTAACAGCATTTTCAGCTTATGCCGCACTCTACACTATTCCAGCCGCGAGAATTGAGGCAGGGATGACTGGGGTTATGGAATACGGAGTACCATCCACGGATCACGCAGTGACCGTAATACATCTAGTTATAAAAAATTGAAAAACGATCTAAAACGTTATTTTATGGCGTATTTCGAGGATTCAGGGTTTTTCGAGAATTTCCCGAAAAACTTCAATTTTTTTTTTTAGCTAAAATATGCCTATATATAAGCTACTTAAAAAAAGTAATAAAATTCGGCTTACTTCCCCCGTAAAATTCAGTTGGATGCTAATTGCTTCAGTAATGATTAGATTGTAAATCATCACTGTTTAACAAACAAATTCAACATTAGCCTTGTCAACAAGAGCTTTGATCATACATCCATTGCCCTAAAATACGATAAACAAAATCAGTTTTAGGAAAATCGGGACCTACGTAACTTCCATTGCATATTAAATTTAACATAGTTTCGGAATTCGTGCATCCTGAACTCGCATTTTTAACTTAGAAATTAATTTGTTATTTTCATTTCCATTAAGTAGTGCACACACGATTATCGAGTACCATGCTAAGATAAATCAACAATTCGTTCAATTCGAGAAAACATGGCGTAGATAAGAGATTGTGATATAGGTTATTTTCACTGCGTCGTGATAGAAAACAACGAGAGAACGAAAGAGAGGTTATTATGCCTAAACAAGAGAGAATGTTTACTATAGATATGAGGCTTTATTGTCAGTCGTATGAAGAACCACCAACCAGAACACAATAGAGGTTACTCAGAGAACACCTGAACACTCTTGTGCAATCATCAACTGCACCGACATCAATACGGCTTCCACAGCCATCAATTTTGACCCAGTAGGCCGCAACCGCCCTCTCCTCTTCAAAATGTTATGCACCCCTCCCTCCCCTAAAAAAATGCTTATCTTAAAGATTAGTTGGGTGAAGAAATGCTTTCCTTAAAGATCAGTTACCACAAGAACATAAGTTTTCCTACATTCTTATGTCAACTAATCTTTAGGGTAAGCATTTTTCTTATCCAACTAATCTTTAAGGTGTGCATTTTTTTCACCCAACTGATCTTTAAGGTAATCATTTTTTTCGCCCGACTAACCTTCAAAGTAAGCATTTTTCCCACCCAGCTAATATTTAAAGAAAGCATTTTTTTATGTAACCTTTTTATCTTTCTAGCTACATGTACTCTTACTTTTCACTATATAAACACTACAGTACAGGTAATGCACAGAGAAACATCTACAATTTTAGCTAAGAATTTTTTTTCGGAAGAATTAATAAAGTAAAGAATATTTTTGGGATATTTTATGGAGGTGTGAAGAATGCCGTCCTATTTTTCCCACATGATATGCACTATATAAGTCAAGATGCTCATTGGTAGGGCAAATTTCAGGAACAAGACACTCGTAATAAGGGAAGGTTACTGTACCTTGAGACCTCACCTTTTCGAAGCAAGAGCGACGCCACTGCTAAACTATTGTTACCACCAGCATTCACTTATTTTATAACCCCAGAAATGACGCCACTGCTATACTACCTATTACTACCAGTACTTACCTATTTTACAACCCCGAAAGTAATTGCACTGCCAGACTATTCCATGACCATCAGCAATCAGTTATTTTACAACCCCAAGAGTGACAGCACTGCCAGACTATTCCATTATCACTCACATCATTTGCTCTTTGTTGATACTACTTAAGTGATGCGTTGTATTTGTGTCCTCAGGTAGGAGAACTGGAACGGTCTCTGTCAGTCTCACCTGTGTATATCACCGGCGGCAACTTCTTCATTATCAACCGCTCGTTCATTCTCACGGTGAGAGTCCTGGTTGATTCCAGACACTTTGTGTTGTAATAACGTTTTTGTCTACGTATATATGTGAGTGTATGAGCAAAACTGCCATTGAATAATCCTACTGAAACAATTGAAATAGTCTAGGCTTGATATTTTTTTGGCAAGGAATTATTTAAAATACTAAAGTCAAATTTTTATACAAGTACATTTTTGGATACCTTCAGAAATTAGAGTGAGGAATAAAGTGACGAAGATCATCTTCTGAAGTGCATGTAGGAAAGTAACTAGATTGGTTTTGGTCACTACACGATCTGAGACAGGTATTCCAAGTATTACATAGTTATTTAGTTTAATGTCTTCATTACGCATCCCATACTCTATTGTGTCGCATAATGGGTCCAGGGACTGGGCTGCAAAGTTCTGACAGGTAAACAAGCTGGCAGTAATGAACTATTTACATGTTTATATCAGCTTACAATCGTAATGAGTTATACATGCAGACATGAATTATGCCACATTTTTCTGTTTTTTTTTTTTTAAATACGGTTATTTCCCCCGTTTCAACAACGCAGTAAAACTCTACGGACCTAGCAAGCCTGCATTCGACTTACTTTTCTAGTATACTGCATAAAAGTGTTGAGTAGATTGAGTTCTAGCTCCTGGCCCTCTTGAGAGTTGCTCTAAAGATCATTACCTCTTGAGGGTATTGAGTTATAGAACATCGTCTTTTCGAAGATGTTGAGCTACAGATGCTGGGCTTCTCATGTGTAGAGCTGAAGCTGAGTGCTGATTTCAAGTTCCTGAACCTTATGGAAGGGTTACTTATTTTTAATCGTGGGAAACGATAAACCCGTAGAGGTTATACATTTCTTGGGGAATACGAGGGAATGAGATTCGCTTAAGAGGATGAGAGGAGTAAAGTCCATTTCCTTGAATCAAGAGCCTCTCTTTGACATCACTTGCCTTGAAGGTTGAACTGTTGCTGATCAGTTTCCTATTGTAAACATTAATAACATTAATAACATTGATAACATTACGGGATACGAACCCTATTAAAACAAATTCCAGTATTTACCGTCCGATTTCAATAATTTTCTTGTTGGAATTAGCTTTAGAAATAATTCTGAGGAAAAAAGTTTGGAGGAAATAGGCAAACAGATCAATGATATAACAAAAAAAATGGATTTAGCAACTAGCTTCTTAGGCTTGGGTAACATCATATGGGAGATATCTCTCTGGGATCGTGCAACGACTGAAACAAAACTGGAAATAGTAACACTAGTAGCAGGTAGTCCTTTTTGCTCTGACGTTTCGCCCAAGTCTAGGCTTTAAGCAGGATGAAGCCTAACCTCGGCTGAAACATCATAATGGAAGGGTTTCTATTACTAGTGTCATTATTTCATTTGCAGACTTAAGTGGTGGTTGACCTGAAGCGTATCTAATAATCTCTATGCTTTCGTTCCCTGTTCTGCGTAATTTCAATAATTCTGGTGTTTCAGTTGGTGAGTGTAGTGGCATCCTATTTCATAGTGATCCTGCAGTTCATGCAGTCCTGCAGTGCTCCTGACGACCAAACTACATGCTCCAACCTCACTTCAGGGACGTTAAGCTGATAATCCGCCAGTGAATTCACTCAGCAGTGCTCCTGACGACCAAACTACATGCTCCAACCTCACTTCAGGGACGTTAAGCTGATAATCCACCCAGTGAATTCACTCAGCAGTGCTCCTGACGACCAAACTACATGCACCAGCTTCACTTCAGGGACGTTAAGCTGATAATCCACCCAGTGAATTCACTCAGCAGTGCTCCTGACGACCAAACTACATGCACCAGCCTCACTTCAGGGACGTTAAGCTGATAATCCACCCAGTGAATTCACTCAGCAGTGCTCCTGACGACCAAACTACATGCTCCAGCCTCACTTCAGGGACGTTAAGCTGATAATCCGCCAGTGAATTCACTTAGCAGTGCTCCTGACGACCAAACTACATGCACCAGCCTCACTTCAGGGACGTTAAGCTGATAATCCACCCAGTGAATTCACTCAGCAGTGCTCCTGACGACCAAACTACATGCACCAGCCTCACTTCAGGGACGTTAAGCTGATAATCCACACAACAGATTGACTCTAGAAGAGTCGGTATGCCACTCATCCCGCACTGGAAGTGTCTACATTGAAAAACCCTCAATAACAACTCTCACTCTCTGATTGCCTGGTGTCCTGCCAATCATTATGCACATTTTAAATTATAAATAACAGCCGTGTTTTCTATACCACAGAAAAATAGTTTTTTTTTTTTTGTGTGCAGAAGGTTACTTATGGGACTTTTTTTTTTAAAACATTGGCCATCACCCACCGAGGCAAGGTGCCCCGAAAAAGAAGAAACACTTTCATTATCACTCACTTCAGCTATATTCTAAACAAACAGGAAAAAAGCTTTATTTTCCTATGTAAATTTAATAAGAAAAACCCAACCAAACGCAACCTAGACCATCTTTGAAATTTTCAGTTAGTTTAGGTTATATATATATATATATATATATTATATATATATATATATATTATATATAAAATTATTTTATATATATATATATATATATATATTTATATGGTCCCGAATAGGTAAAACTTGCTATTTTGGCTTAAATTACAACGCTCTTCTTGCTGGATAAGGCAAGCGAAAATTTGTGAATGCACAAATTTCGCAAAAATCATTCTGAACCTAACGAAAAAGATATTGTGGAAAATTGCATTTATCTGAATGTAACTCATTATGTACATAACAGTAAAGGATAACTAAGATAATTATTATTTATCAGAGTTACATAGACAAGTAGGAATTTGGGACACCTAGGTCGCAAAAATGTCCCCCTTCGATACCTACCACTGTCATATCCACAAGTTGCTCTGGACCTATTAATTACAAATGAAATATACATCACCAGGAATTCTGGTAAATATATAAATTTGTGGACTGTATATTAAAATTAAAAAAGGATTATATATATACACATACACATAACAGAAGGAGAATATATCTTAATATCACTCACCAATTTGACTGGAGATTAAGGTGTATTATACCCAGAAAACCTCACTGTCTACATTTATGATAATAATACTGGCCAGAACTATGAACATAAATATAGACATGACTTATCTGATGCTCCTGGAGCTGTCTTGTCCAGTCGCCTGATATCTCAAGTTATGCAGGACTGCACATCCAACAATTTCGGCTCCTATTTGAGAGGTGTCAGCCCAATTTTAACCTCTAGAGTACGAAAATTCTTCCCATTTTTACACTAACGTTCTGTTCAATTCAAACAACAATGGAGAGTGTCTTCTGCACAGGCGCATTTCCCATTTTCGATAACATACTTCTTTTAAAAGTACATTTTTAATCAGGTTTATTTACGCAGCATAATATTGGAAAATTATTTTCCACAGATATATTTCATTTTGTTTGTTTATTAAATTATTGTAACTTATCTAAAATATATTTAGTTGGATTAGGCTAAATGAAATTGCGCTTATAATAAAGTTAGGTAAGCTTTCTAAGGTTCTTTTGGTACAAAATTTTTAATTTTTACATTAACATAAATGAAAAATAATCTTTAAACGTATAAGAGAAATTTTTAAAAAAGGACTTAATTTTAAACAAGTTCTTACTAATTGGTGAATTTTACCTATTCGACACAATGTTATATATATATATATATATATATATATATATAATATATATATATATATATATATATATATATATATATATATAATATTGTGGTAGTAGGTTGGAAGACAGCAACCGCCCAGGGAGGTACTACCGTCCTGCCAAGTGAGTGTAAAACGAAAGCCTGTAATTGTTTTACATGATGGTAGGATTGCTGGTGTCTATTGTCTGTCTCATAAACATGCAAGATTTCAGGTATGTCTTGTTACTTCTACTTACACTTAGGTCACACTACACATACATGTACAAGCATATATATACACACCCCTCTAGGTATTCTTCTATTTTCTTTCTAGTTCTTGTTCTTGTTTATTTCCTCTTATCTCCATGGGGAAGTGGAACAGAATTCTTCCTCTGCAAGCCATGCGTGTTGTAAGAGGCGACTAAAATGCCGGGTGCAAGGGGCTAGTAACCCCTTCTCCCGTATAAATTACTAAATTTAAAAGAGAAACTTTCGTTATTCTTTTTGGGCCACCCTGTCTTGGTGGGATATGGCCGGTGTGTTGAAAGATATATATATATATATATATATATATATTATATATATATATATATTATATATATATATATATATATCGTCCCTATTGTACAGCGCACTTCATGCTGGAGAATTTACATATAAAACACACATGGGGTAAAGCATAACGCCGTAAAAGTGTTCACTAACCTCAATCTGGGTATCCACTTGATATTTCACTTACTCTTGGAGAGAATGGGGCAAGTGGTCACTTATTGCCTCACCCACCAACACCACGGTGTCTGAATCCATCTGTTGCTTGAGTGTCAGGTCCCAACTCGCCACGCTTGCGTAACTCGCTGGAGTGAGAGACGGAAGTGCAGGAGAGAGTCAAGAACAAGGCTGCAGTAGGCATAAATTGAGAAAATTATATCTAAATATGGGTCTTTAGGACGCTAGCAGCAACAACCTAGTAGTTATGAATGGTACAAAACTAAGCAAAAATGCAATTGTGTCGTTTTTTCTCCCAGCAACAGCTTGGTTAGTCAAGCCGTCAGCATTGGAATCTGACCTCAGGCCAGACTTTGAAAGAACTGTGAAGACTAGTCGCAGGTGTTTGCCCATCGTTATCATCGCAGAGGCATCAGTTGAATGACCTACCCACCAACCTCACTAGGGGTCATCCAGATGATGTACAACCCATCAACCTCACTAGTGGGCATCCAGATGATGTACAACCCACACAACCTCATCAGAGGGCATCCAGATGATGTACAATCCACCCAACCTCACTAGGGGGCATCCAGATGATGTACAACCCACACAACCTCACTAGGGGGCATCCAGATGATGTACAACCCACACAACCTCATCGGAGGGCATCCAGATGATGTACAATCCACCCAACCTCACTAGGGGGCATCCAGATGATGTACAACCCACACAACCTCACTAGGGGGCATCCAGATGATGTACAACCTACACAACCTCACTGATTGTATATTAATGACCTGTAAACAGAGACTAACTTATGCATAACTTTGTTTGTTTATGTCAAAATAAATGTAAAATACTAAAAATAACTAAAGATAAATAAAGGACTGCAATATAACTCTGACAAACTTCAGAATTATTACATTATTACAATAGACCCGTAGGAACACTGCCATGCAGCGCTTGAGTAATGAAAAATAATCAGTTTAGATCTGAGGAAAGGGAAGGTAGCTTCAGTTTCTTGGATCAAGAGCCTTTTGCCAGCATCATGGCACTCTCATCTCCACTGAATGACCAGACTTCTTGAACAGTCAAACAAGTATTTACTTGCGTCAACCCAACAAAACCAAAGTAATGTAGCTGAGAGGAACAAGGTTGAAAACAGGCTCTTATCTGGGGATGAAAAAAGAAGGAAATTTAAAGAAAAAGTCCTAGGAATGCCCTTTACCATGAGGCTATACCCTGAAGGGCACACAGAGAGTAACATAGGCAGCACAGGAGAGACTGTCATTAATACGATGAATTAGATACATGTGCAACATCTGGGTATCTTTATTATAGACGTTTCGCCATCCAGTGGCTATATCAATACAAATGCAAGAACATAATGGGAAGTCAGAAGAACTATATACAAAAGATGAGGTAATCAGTCTGTCAGTCTTAAATTGGTGAAGAGTTCCATGGTCTTGAAGTGTCTGAAGCACAGGCATGAATGACAGAGCATGGTTGAGGGCATCCCAAAAATTGAAGCAGACCTAGTAAGAGCCTATATAATAGACTGGAAAGTATTGGGGAGGAGGGCCTCACCCATTCAGTGGCGGCTCATGTATAGGCACTGCTGAACTGCAGCACCCCTATTTTCACTCTATATTATCGATAACATTCAATATAACGAGTCTTTTTTTCTTTAATTCTTTCTTTATACTTGTACATTATATAATCCTTAAGCTTAATGTCAGTAGCTATCCCCTAGTACACAAAAAAATTACAAAAATCCTTGTATGGAACTGTGCGCTTCACAGTTCCAGTGATTTGGTGTTTAGCTGTTGTGTGCATGTGCACATGTCCGAGACAAGATGCTGCACACTAGGTAGAGAGAGCACTTTCGCTGATGCAGTGCCGACCCTGTTGTGCAAGTGTAAGGTAGTGTTTCTTTTTGACTCATTGATGTTTGTTGTGCTTAAAAATCATGTACAGTGGTACCCAGAGTTTCAGCCATAATTTGTTCCAGAAGGCTGTACGAGTGCCGTTACTGAACAAATTTGTTCCCATAAAGAATAATGTAAATTAGATTAGTCCGTTTCAGACCCCCAAAAATACACTTACAAAAGCACTTACAATAATACACTTACATAATTGTTTGAGTTGGGAGCTGTACGAAACTCCGGGTACCACTGTACCATATTCTTGAGTGTGATAAAGTGTAGAA